ATGTGCAGAACCCTATTGTGCAGATACCTCATCTTTTCTTTATGCATTCATCTGTTCATTGCATGTAGGCTGCTTCCCCAACTGAGCTATTTGTGAGTAGTGTCATGGTAAATATAGGTATATGCAGGTATATCTAGGATATGCTAACTTGCGGTGGTTCTATTTTCTGTTTTTTATGGAAGCTTTATACTGATTTCCCTAGTAGGTGGACAAATTTTCATCCTTACCAATGGAGTATTATGTTGATAACCACATTATTTTACAATATATCGTAGGTTTGCTTTTTCTCTTATGACCCTATATTAGGGTAAAAACTCAGCCTCAAACAAGTGCTTTACCACTTGTTGTTGATGCCCACAGAGTTTTTGTTTATTTTTCAGAAAAGATCTTGGGATATTTGCCTGTGCACTCTACACCATGATCTTTCTACCTTCACCTCCAGTAAAGCTGGTTTACAGGCATGAGCCACCCTGGCTGTTTTCTTGATACCTGCCATACTGACTGGTGAGAGAGAGAATCTTGATGTTCTTTTTATTTGGAAAAAAGGTGGTTTTTTTTTTAGGTTCTAAGTTTGGAATAAAGGGCCTTATGCTCACTCATCTTGCTTGATTTGAGTTGTGCCTCCAGGCTGGCTTTTTTTCCAGTTAATTGGAAATGGAGTCTCCTGGACTCTTCTGTTCTGTCTGTCCAAAAGTCATAATCTTAGTTTCTTAAATAGTTAGAATTTACAAGAATGAGCCATCATTGAATTGCATATATTTTACAGTTAAGGATATTGAACATATTTATGTATTTATCATTTTTACTTCTTTTATATCATCTGTCTCAATTTCCATTGATTGAATTATTTAATTTGGGGGTTTACTTTTGTATTTTGGATATGAATTCCTTGTCAGATAAGTATTTAGCTGACATTTCCTCCACCATTCCATAGGCTGTCTTCCCACTTTTGTCTCCTTTGCTTTTCAGTAAATCCCATTTGTCATTTCTTGCTATTATCTCTTGAGATATTGGAATAGTACAAAAAGTTTCGCCTATCCTTATGCCTTGAAGCACTTTTCCTATGTTTCCCTTTAGTAGCTTGCTTTGACACTACAGGTCATACATTAAGACCTTTGATCCACTTTTTTTTTAACCAGGTGAGATAGTGGTCCAAACTAAGGATTAAGTCTTCTATATGTAGACATCATGTGTCACAGCATCATTTGTTAAAAATGTTATTGTTTTCTTCAAGAGACAGTTTTACCTTTGTAAAGGTTCATATGACTATAGAATTGTGCTTTACTCCTGGATCCTCCATTCTACTGCAATAATCTATATGTCTGTGTTCCAGGATCCTTCTGCACTTGTGATCATTGCTCTCTACTATGATTTGAATACGTGTCATGATTTTTTCAGTTTTACTTATTTGTTCAGGATTGTTTTCCTTTATTGGGTATTTTGTGCTTCTATATAAACTTTAGGGGTTTTTTCCTATCTCTGTGAGGAATGCCAAGTATTGGTAAAGATTTTATTAAATCTATGGACCATTTTAAAAAACAGTCATCAGGAATGAGACACAATGTCTACTCTCTCTGATCCTGCTTAATACAGTGATTGAATTCTTAACTAAATTAGTAAATCAAGTGAAAGAAATAATAGTGACACAAATAGGAAATAAATCAAACTTCTTAGTTGAGGACAATAAAATGCTGTACTTTAAAGACTTTAAGGACTCCACTAGAATGCTCATCAATTTGATAAACTTTCAGCAAAGAATCGATATATAAAATTAATATCTTTTCTATATACAGTTAATAAATATGTTGAGAAAAATTCAAGAAATAAAAGGTCTTCATATAACGTTAAAAAATTCAATGTGAGGAACCTAATCAAGAACATAAAAGACTCCTTCAAAGAAAATAATAAGAATAATGAAGAAAGGAGATGAAGAAGACAACAGTGAATCTCCATGGAGTAAAACTTTTGAACAATGAACAGACAAGTTAACAAAATGAATACCAGAAGCTGAAATGAGAGGGTAAGGGTGTTGGGGAGAGTGGGAGAATGTAGATTAATGAAAAGGGGAGAAGGAACAAATATGGCCAGAAGATTCAATGCATACATGTGATAAGTAAGTGGGAATTGAGAATTGAATCTAGAGAGGGAGCAGAGAGGATGGGAGAGAGGATGGAAGGAGGGATTTTGATTAGTTGGACACCTCAAATTGTAAACCCTTTGTACAATCTTTTCAGGTTCAGAAAACAATTAAAATTAAGGTTTAAAACCAAATTTCCAATTTTTTTAGTGTCTCACAGATGGTTTTTAATTCCTTTGTCTAGTCTCTTTAACACTTGTCCTGTTACAGTGTATCTTAAATGATGTCAGTTGTTCATTTGAATGCTTAATTTTCTCAAATGAAAGCTGTGAAATCACAAAAACTCAAACTAGTTTGATGTTATTTCCCTACCTATTTTCAAGCTGAAGATCTTATGAGACATTCTAGACAAGGTGACAGCTTTTCCTTAGAGAGAATTGTATTCTAAAGCTGCCTTTACCTCCATCTTAACTCAACACAATCTAACAATCAGAGGTAGAACAAGATGATAAGACAGCTCCATTATCAGAATGATAAATACTGCCTCCAGATAATTACATTGATTGTTCATGTTTGGAGATAGCTCTTTAGATTATGTGTGAAGCCATTACCCACTTAGGAAGTAAAATGATTCCATATGAAATTCTGACTTAATTAAACTAAGTAGACTTTCACACATGAGACTTACCCAGATCTTTTCATTGTGAAACTTCCTCACTCAACTTAGGGAAAGACTTGGTAAAACTTATCTACTTAACAAATCTATCCATATAGCTGCTGGGAGCTGATGGTTCATGACTGTAATCCTAGTTACTCAAGAGGCTGAGATCTGAGGACTGCAGTTTAAAGCCAGCTCAGGCAGGAAGACTGTGAGATTCTTATCTCCAAATAAACACTGAAAAAGCAGGAAGTGGAGCTGTTGGCTCCACTAGCCTTGAGTACAAAAGTTCCTAGACAATGTGTAGGCCCTGAGTTCCAGCTCCAGAACCAAAACCACAAACACACACACACACACACACACACACACACACACACACACACACACACACACACACACACACACACACACAATGAATCTATCCATAGTTGAAGTCTTTCAAATGCATTGTGTTAACTTTTAAGAATAATCTACTGGTGTGGTATTGTAATCACTTATTTTTTTATTTTTTATTTTTTAATTTTGTCAGTTGTGGGGCTTGAACTCTGGGCTTGGGCGCTGTCCCTCAGCTCTTCAGCTCAAAGCTAGCGCTCTACCACTTGAGCTACAGTACCACTTCTGGTTTTCTGATGGTTTATTGGAGATAAGAGTTTCACAGACTTTCCTGCCCAGGGTTGGCTTTGAATCGTGAACCTCAGATCTCATCCTCCTGAGCAGCGAGGATTATACACGCCAGATAAATTTTAAATGCATTGTTTTATAAGGAAATGTTTGAAATTCCAAATACATAATGAACTGGTGGGATTCTTAGATTCTTCAAATAAACCCATGACCATAACTTTCAAGGTGTTTCATTTAACTACATTTGAAAAGAGAACTACACTGTGCCTGTGGACAAGCAGAATGCCTGGTGTTCATAGTTGAGAGCCCCAGGAGTTAACTTCTTGTGCCAGCTTGGACCTTTGGCAAATTATTTCATCTTTGAATATTCCTTCCTATCCATGATGGTAGTTAGCTCAGTATTGCTTTATATACAGTAGCCAGCTCCAGGACCTCAGTCCTATATTATGTATTGCCTTGGTATTACTGAATTTGGCTAACTCAAGGAATAGAAACCTGATTTGTTTCAGTGCCAGAGATGAAATTATTGTTTTTTTTCCACAGGAACAGTGATGTTCCTTATGACTTATAGCAAGTAACTAATACATTTGAAATTGCCCACTTTAACTGGTTGGTGGTCAAAAGAGGGTCAGCATTCTAAGAAACTTGGTTAAATACATATAGCTGCAAGCCAGCCACAACCTCAGGCACACAACTTCATATGTGAGGACAATGAGGTACAAAACAATACAAAAAGCTAATTACATGAAAGAATACCATCATAGTAAGAAGTGAACAGAGATTACTTCTGGTACAGATTCATAAATATATTTTATTAAGCAATCCTGGGGCTTGAACTCTGAGTCTGAGCACTGTTCTTTTTTTTTTTGGGGGGGGGGGGGGCGGGGTCCGGTTGTGGGGCCTGAACTCTGGGCCTGGGTGCTGTCCCTCAGCTCTTCAGCTCAAGGCTAGCGCTCTACCACTTGAGCCACAGCACTACTTCTGGCTTTTTTCTTTTTGCTTATGTGGTGCTGAGCAATCAAACCCAGGGCCTCATGCATGCAAGGCAAGCGCTCTACCACTGAGCCCCCTTCCCAGCCCCCTGAGCACTGTTGTTAAACTTGTGCTCAAGGTCAATGCTCTACCACTTAAGCCAGCGCTCCACTTTTGGCTTTTTGCTGATGAATTAGAGATAATTGTCACATGAATGTTTTCTGCCTAGGTTAGATTCAAACCATGGTCCTCAGATCTCAGCCTCCTGAGAAGCTAGGATTATAGACATGAGCCACTGGTATCCAGCATACATTTATCTTTCCCCCAAACTTGATTTCATGATGTGTATTTTTTTTTCCTAACTAAGGTAGTATTAGAGCAAGCACTGAGTCAAATTTACCTGTGTATTGACTAATAAATTAAAAAAAATAACAGCCACATATGTTGTTTCGTTAGCATGATTTATTGCAAATGGGCACCAACTAAGTCTACATTTATGAAATAGTGCAGAGATAGGGGATTCCGGAGGCATGAGGCACACAATTCTAAGATGAGAAATACGCCTGAAATTGTAGATGGTCAGCGTACTTCTCCTTGGCCTGGTGCAGAGTATTGCAGTCCAGCTGGGTCCATCTTCTTATGTCTTAGATGTCGGTTCCCCAGGAGAGGATTTCAGTAGAAGCTGGAGTAGCCATATCCCCCGTAGCAGGAAGGGCGGCGGTACCCACAGCCATAGTTTCCAAACCCAGAACCATAGCCATAACCCCCAAATCCAGAGCCATAGCCCCAACCCCCAAGTCCAGAACCGTAACCACAGCCCCCAAATCCAGAACCATAGCCGTAGCCAGAGCCCCAGCCCAGTCTGCCAAAGCTGTGGCATCCACAGCCAGGGCCATAGCCCAGGCCTCCGTAGTAGCTGCCATAGTAGCTCATGGTATCAGTGGAGGTGAATTTGGCTTGATGTTCACAGGAATATGCTGAGTATGAATGTCACTGTGTGTACGGACAGGCTTATATATCCTGGTTGGAGCAGGTGACGAGTCCTGGCACACCCTCCTTGAGTGTCACTGTAGGTATTATCTTTCATGAATCTGCTGTCTCTTGACACAGAGAGGCCCTCGTGGTCATTAAACACTTTAGATGGCTTCACCATCTATGCAGGCTATACTTGGCCTCTTTATATGAGATGAAAGAGCTGATTCCTCAAAATGTGTGCATTCCGAACCCGAAGTAAAATGGCCCCATTCCAAGAATATTATATCATCTATAAATTGTTCAGCTTTAGAGTTCATTATTTTCCCCTTCTCTGGTCTCCCAAATTGATCACACAATTTCCAAGGAAATCCACAGTCGCTCCCTGAGTTGGTAGTCATTAAATCTATTCTTTTCTCCAAGAGCCAACCTATTTATCAAGATTAGAACTTAGGGAAGTGGCTCTATTCAGCATATATGAAAACACTTGTAAATAATCAATGGTTTAGGGAGCTGCTGTGTACATGAGCACATGATCTAAGAAAGAGAAAAGATGTGTGTTGACTTTTAGCATTTTAATTATATTGACCTTCGTAATATCTTTAGGTTACTTGGCAGCTGGAAAACCTTTTGGCTTTAAGATCCATAATAATTAATTTTAGAAATTGGGGGCACAAAAATCTTTCTCATAAGCAGAATTACCAGAGTCACAGTTCAGTTTTTATTTCAAATCCCTCAACCCACCTCCGTAATTGGTTCCATTCAAAGTCCTACTAAAGCCACAGATTGCATCAACCTGCTTGTTTCGCCTGCTCTAGCTAATTTCTTCTTTGCCCTCCAGCAATGCATAGATGACCTGTGCATTAATTTCTTTAGCTTGCATTCTTCTTCCCATTCTCTCAGTACCTACTAGGAACAGCCAGATAACAGAATACATTGGACAATAATTTTTTTTCTCTCTCAGACTTCTGTTCCCTCAGTGTGACCAACTTTGCTACTTTTACCTCATCTTAGCTAACATAATGTATTTCTGTTCTGTGCCCAATTACTCCCAGGCAACTTCTAACTACTCTCTAGTAATCAGTTAATGCACCATTCCCTTCATCAAGGTACCATTTTCAAACACATATCCTACCACCTAGGTTCAGGTTGTCTTCAGGATTTTGTCAATGGTGAACTGAGTCAGAGCCAAGTAAAAGCAAGTGAGGGAAGCGGTCTTGGGATCCAGCAGTTCCTCAGCTCACTCCAATGAATTGGCCAACCAGGTTCAAGGCTCTCTCTCTCTATCATTAATCTGTGTAGCACCTGTCTCTGACTAGAATCACAGAAACAGAATTACACTCTATGACATTGAACAGGCCTTTGGTTTTTAAAAAAGACTTATAAGTAATTTTTATCAATGATAAATCTTCTACTCTAAAGATTTTAGATCTGATGAACAAAAGACTAGAGAATTAAAAACTATTATTTGAAAGAATGAAGAAATTGTAAGTAAATGAACAGTAAGTGTCCTATCACATCCTGCACCACGCCCTTATTTCACCTCACTCCATATACTTTTGCTCCATGCGACCTAATTTAAGGAGGACTTCTTTTGAAACAATTTTTGTATCTTTTTGTTTCTTTCTTACTCCTCATCTGAAATTGAGTCAATGGAAAGATAAAGTTTGATTGTCAGTGAGGCCTTTGAAAAACATAGCATCACCAATAACTCAGATTGTATTAGCACTATCCCATTTTGTATATATAACTCAGCCAGACAGAAATGAGAGTTAATTTGTTCTGGTTTGGGAAATGAAAATATACATCCTCATGAGATATAAAAACTAAACAAGTTGTAAATGCAAAATTTTAAAAGTAAAATATGTGATTATTACTTTTTTAAGTTTAATATTTTACATAAATCAAATTATTGATCATTAGCAGTCAAAATTCCAATGTAGAACATATAAGAAATAGAAGCAACATTTACTTATTTGTAAATTATTTATTAACCATTTGTTTGTTTTTTACTTTCTGCCAGTACAAATATTTGAAATCAATGGCCTCATGAATACTGGACTTGCTTACTTGGCTTGTGCTATATTATTGGAGCCTTGCCTCCAGCATGGCTTTTTACTAGTTATTTGGGAAATAGAGTTTAGTGAACTTTTTTGCCCAGGCTAGCTTTGAACCTCAGTCCACATCTTAACCTCTGAAATAGCTAAGATTATAAGCATGAGTCATCAGCTTCCAGTGTATCTGTTGGCTTTTGTTGTTGTTTGAAGTAAACAGTATCTAAGTGAAAATACTAATTATATAGTAATGGATGGATAGATAGATAGATAGATAGATAGATAGATAGATAGATAGATAGAGCAAAGATCTTTCAAATGTCTATTCTATTTTTCAGTAGTCTTAGGAATTATGTTAAGTAACCCTATAAAAACATATTGGAAAGAAGAAAATGAGTTCTCACTTGGGATAGCTTTAACCTGTATAAAAAGAAAACTTTCATTTTGATCTCATCATGTTCTCTTAACTGAAATACATATATGTGTGTATATATATATATACATATATATATATGCACACATGTGTATATGTGTGTATATAGACAAAATTGTTGTAATATATCAGGAAGGTTATTGGTGCTTTTTCTCATTGTAACTACATTGATCATATGTTTTCTTTGCAACTTTGTGATACCTCCTTCAATTGTGGATATAATGATATGTAGGAGAAAATAGTAGTTGTAGTTGTAAATGAATTTAGCATATGAATCAAAGTTCATCAAGTGGTGTTTATAAACATTACTTTTTTCTCATATTTTGAAATAATACCCTAAAGGAGAAATGACCAAAACATGCTGCATTTATTTGATTGTTACTATTGTCAAATTGTATAGAAATCTAGTCTTTCTAATAAGACATGATCTTGAGTACTTAGCTTTAATATTATTCATTGTTAATTTACTATTAACTGCAGCTAGCAGTGCATATATGACATAGAATATTCAGTACAATTTTAAAAAATAACAATGCAATTTTTTAAAAAAATTGTAGTTAAGTGATGTAACTAATCCTCACCAAGTCTACCATATAGTTGAAGCCATTCATAGGATTAATATAAGAACTTCCCAGACAGCATTCAACTTTGGGATGCACGAAAGCTGCCTTCTCAGTTTGGTCTGACCAGCTTGTTATGCAAGACACTTAAATTGCCTCATCTACCTTACAAAGGGCAGTGCTATACAATTTTAATCTTTGATTCAGTTCTATACATTCTACTGTTAAATTAATATGTCATTCTATTTTGGAAAATAAGTATGGTTTTAGACACTATAAGTATTCTATTAGGTGAAATACCAACAATGAAAAGCTTGTTGGAGACAGGAGAATTGATTAAAAGTCAAATGCAAAAGCAAGAGGTAGAGCAGGGAAGGAATTGGAAAGGAGAGAAAGGAGAAGAAGGGAGAAGGAGGAAGAGAAGAGAGAGGGAGGAAGAAACAATCATAAAGGAAAGAAGGGAGAAAGATTTGGATGAATTATGATTCTCAAGTCATCCTTTAGAGACTTCTTTCTTGAATAAACCTGGATGTTAATTTTCTATTCACAGTTGTAAAATATTAAAGATGATGATAGTTAAAAAAAGAATATCATCCAATCACAAAGGAAAAATTATAGCCTACCAAACTAAAATAGCTACTTTAGTATTACACATATTTTAAATATCCCATTTAAAATATTTTACTAATTTTATAAAAGAGCTACTTTTATGATTATGTCAAGTGAAATGACAGATTTATAATGAATCGAACAACCAAGTTATTTTATTATACACTTTTCTTAGCACTTAATGAAATCTACTTTTAAAATTGTATTATCTAGTAATTGTACAAAGTGATCACAAGTCCATGATCAGGTTATCAGCATAATGTCATTCCCTTCATTGTTCTTTCCTATTTCCCCCCTCCCATCAATTCTCTCAAAGTTTGAAAGAAGAGATGGATTATTTATTTCTTTACTACTGTGTTGCTAAGCAGAATTATATAAAATTCAAAACAAGTGAGTTATTTTTATATATTAGCATAAAGTTACAGTTTAAAATGGCCAGAGTTTACTTCCTAATTGTCGACAAATTTGCTTTTGTTGATTAAATTTGCTTTTAGCATGAAAATATTTTATAACACATTTAAGGGATCATTATTAAGTTCAACCTCAGCTCATTTGTGTGTGGGATTTTTTCTAATATCTGCATCTATCTGACAACCTATCTATGAATGAATGATTAAAACAGGAAAAAGAATATTGATTTCCACTCTAGAAGTTGGGTCACAACACATAAATTGAGCTATGTGAATTAGACAAAAGGCATTCTTGATGTCTCAAATGACAGACTTTCTTTGTTAAACAAAACTAGCAGAAGCTGGGTGCTGGTGCCTTGTGCCTGTAATCATCACTACTCAGGATGTTGAGAGCTGAGGATTGTGTTTCAAAACTAATCTGGAAAACAAATCTAAGAAATTTTTAATCTTGAAATAATCAGCAAAAACCCAGGAACTATAGATATAGCTGAAGTAGTAGAATACCAACCATCAACAGAAAAAGCTATTTGAGAGCATGAGGCCTTAAGTTCAAGCCTAATACCAGAGCCACACACACACACACACACACACCAAAAAAACTTGAAAATAAGATGAAGACAAAATTATGTAATTAGAAAGAAACTGAGAGACTTAAAAACTAGTTATTTTGACTAAATAAACCCAGTGGAATCTTGATAATCTAATAGTTAAAATCAGATTCAGCAAGCCTTCTGATAGAATCAGATATCAGATTCCTAAGGAAAAATTGTATTGGAAGCTGGAAGACTCATTGCCTAACAAGATGGATAGTAGCAGCTGTAATTTTAACCTCCAAGTCAGGAGACAGCTGGACTCAATGAAGTCACCACATCTGTAGCAATGGCTACACTCCAGG